GTTCTTTGTGTGGATGCGAAGAACCTCAAGGCGACCCACTTCATCTGGAACACCAATATCAATCTCTCTATCAAACCTGCCAAACCTCCTCAAAGCAGGATCTATGCTATTCGGACGATTAGTAGCCCCAATAACAATAACATGGGACCGAGATTTCAGTCCATCCATTAAAGTCAGAAGCTGTGAAACGATCCTCTTATCAACTTCACCATGGGTCTTCTCCCTCTTTGGAGCAATTGAATCGATCTCATCAATAAAGATGATGGATGGAGCATTTTTCTCAGCTTCTTCAAAAGCCTTCCTGAGGTTCCTTTCACTTTCTCCAAACCATTTGGACATAATTTCAGGGCCGTTAATACAGAAGAAGAATGCACCAGTTTCATTGGCAACAGCTCTGGCAATTAATGTCTTTCCAGAACCAGGGGGTCCATAAAGTAAAATTCCTTTGGGTGGTTTAACACCAATTGATTCGAAAAGCTGAGGATGCCTTAGTGGCAACTCAACTATCTCACGGATCTGAGCCATCTGCTTCCTAACACCACCCACATCATCATAACCAACTTTATGCAATCTATCCTCTTCAGGTGTTTTATCAGCATCAGCCTCAGATGTTTTGTTTACACCTTTAGACAGCTGCAAGGTCTGTGCAAATGCCTGGTTGTTACAAATGTCAGCATCGCTTATGCTTCTACGAGCATACTTCATTGACTCCTCAAAATGAGCAGCCTTAATTTCTGCAACTTCGTCCTCCACATCCTCATCCATAGCTTCAGGATTCTCCCTTCTCCTTCTCTCCTTCTCTCTGTCCTGCAGTAATTCCATAAATGCTTAAAGTTACTTCTGCTACGTCTCAAAAGAACAACACAGAAGTAATTAACTTGTTGCAAATATCTTGTACTTATTCATTATTTGCGGTTGAGCAAGCAGAGAGACTACAATTTCCATTTTAAAATGGCAGTGATATTGTGATAAGCTTAAACAAACAATAAAAGCATATGCTTACATTCTTTATGTTCTCTCTAATGGCATACTTGCATGCTCGCTGGCAAATCTCAGTAATATCAGCACCACTAAAACCTTGAGTGGACTGGGCCAACACTCTTAAATCAATATCCTTAGCAACAGGTAACTTTCTCAAACAGGATTTGAAGATCTGATATCGTGATTCCTCATCTGGAACAGGAACATAGATCAACTGGTCAAGACGGCCAGGCCGCAATAATGCTGGATCAATTTTGCGAGGCCTATTGGTGGCCCCAATTATGAAAACAGTCTTTTTTGGGTTCATGCCATCCATTTCAGTAAGGAGTTGATTTAGAACTCGATCAGCTGCCCCACCTGCATCACCACCCCTCTGCAACAATTATGGTAAAACATTATAATATTAATAGTAAATAAAATAAAGCAATTATTAAGAGAATAAGAAATGATTGATACATTCACCAGTTCAATATTTTTTAATTTAGTCATTAAAAATATAATATAAATACAGTTAATTTAGTTGGTTTTTATATCTTGCGTGTATGATTGTATCATTATACTTATTTATTTTTAATTTTAAATTAAAAAATAATAATTTTTTAATGATTAAATCGAAAAATGTTAAACCGAGTATTCAACCGGTAAATGTACCGATCACTGTCCTAAGAGAATAAAACACTAAAGGAATGGAAGTGCAACCAGCTTAGCAACAGAATCGAGCTCATCAAAGAAAAGCACACAGGGTGCAGACTGCCGGGCCTTGTCAAATATTTCTCTAACATTGGCTTCACTCTCACCAAACATTGTGAGCAGTTCAAGGCCTTTGACACTGATAAAGTTTGCTTGGCACTCATTTGCAATAGCCTTAGCCAGAAGAGTTTTCCCACATCCAGGAGGGCCATAGAAAAGTACTCCCTTTGAAGGTGAGATGCCAAATTTCTCAAACTTCTCAGGGTGCTCCACTGGATACTGGACAGTCTACAGACCCAAAGAAAGGCACACACATAGTGAATGTTAGAAAAAAAAGCAGGAAGCTAACACAAGAAGAAAGTTTAAAAATCAATGCAACAATGACAATCACCTCTTGGAGTTCCCTCTTAACATTCTCAAGGCCTCCAATGTCCTCCCATGTGACATTGGGCACTTCAACCACCTGGAAAACCAAAAGGTAAGCAATGTGAACATAATAGACGAGTCGAATTTAAGGCATGTTCCAAATCATGAAGGGAGCCCAAAGGAAATCGAGTAACTCACCATTTCACGCAGAGCAAAGGGGTTGCTAATTGTTTTAAGAGCAGTTTGAAAGTGCTCATTTGTAACTGCCACTGAGTTAAGGATCTCTGCATCTATGGATTCATCTCCCAGGTCAATAACATCCATCTGTTCTCTGATGCACTGCAGTGCAGCTTCAGTGCATAGAGCAGCAAGGTCAGCACCAACAAAACCACGAGTGTCCTTTGCAATCCTTTCTAGAACAACCTGGAC